CCCAGGCGGGTCTTGAACCCGCGGGCTCAGGCAATCCACTCACCTCGGCCTTCCAAAGGTGCGGGATTACAGGCTGAGCCACCGAGCCCAGCTATTTATTGTTATTTATTTTAAAGATGGGCAGTAAAATTCAGGGCTAGCTATGCAAATGGTCATTGTATAGGTAATGTTGAGGCCTCACTTTGGTCCCACTTCAACTGGCTTCAGATCAGGTACCCTTATTAATGATGTGTCTCCCCCCTTTCCTCCCCTGGCAGTTTCCCGCTCCTGACAATCCCTTTCTTGTAGTATTATGATAATTGTTCAGGGTCTGTTTATGAGTGAGAACATGTGGTGCTCGGTTCATTGTTTCTGGATGGATTTAGAGTCTATAAACTCAGTGATCTATCATAGAAGCAAGGTACCCTTATTATGTTATGTGTCTCCCCACTCCCCCTGCCTTGGCAGTATCTGGCTACTGCTAATCCCTTTCTTAGAGTATTATGGTAAATGTTCAGGGTCCACTTATGAGTACACACCCTTTTTTAAAAGGAAATCAACTTGGCTGTCGAGGCCACTTTCAAAAGCTGAAGATTTTAGGGATGCAGCCTCAGATAAAGCAAGCAGGTCCTAGGGTGATTCCACCCCACCCCCGAGCCCTCCCTTGCATTCGGACAGAGTACAACTGAAGTTCCTTTGTTTCACCCCTTCCCCCCACCAAGAGGGAAGAAGGGGTGATGCTGTGAACCCCCACCTGAAATACATGACAGTGCCAGCTAGCCCCAACCCACCCTATTCCCACTTTCTCTTGTCCCTGGAAACTTCTTGATAACAAAATAAGAGCTCCCACCCACTAGGGCTCAATTCTGGGCCTCTGGGAGCAGGGCAGAACCGTGGATTTCTTTCTTCTTCATCCTGAAAGCAGGCTGGCTTTCCCAGCGTGCTAGGGGCCTGTGGGACTTCAGCAGACCTGAGGCTATCTGTGGCTTGATGCTCTGGCAGAAACAGCACTTCGTGGGCTGTGGTGGTAGCCTGCATTCCTTGACATGATGGTCTAGACCTCCATAGTTGCAGCACCTGTCTGCTTTGATCTGCATTCTTGCACGTTCTTCTCCTTTGACCGCCTCTCACTCCCCAATACAGAACACCCCAGCAGGTCCTGGGACACAAATAGATAGATGCCAGGCCCTGGGCAGACTTCCTAAAGGTGAACCCACACCCACTAAAATAGCCTGTCACTAAAGGCCAAACACCAAAAAAGAGCACAGGCCAGCCTTCTCTGAGCTTTCTGAGATCTGACCCTGTACCGATGACAAAACTTCAAGCATACACCTCCAACAGTAGGTGAGTATTGCTCATTTATACACACATATTATTATTCTAATAGGTTACTGAACTCACAAAATATACATAAAAATAACATTGTTGAAAGTTGAAGTCAAGATGAGTTAAGCAATGTTTGGTAATTTTTATTTAGTCACACGTAACAAACAATTTTGCTTTCCTGGATAAAAAATTATAATAAAAATTATTGCCAGGCTCGGTGGCTCAGCCTGTAATCCCACACTTTGGGAAGCTGAGGTGAGTGGATTGCCTGAGCCCACGGGTTCGAGACCTGCCCGGGCA